TCTCCCTAAACCAGCGTCTGCCGACACTGTGTTGCGAGCGTAAATAGTTGGAGGTCGAAACTGCAACCCGGCAGAATGAAAGGCTGACCAGTGCCGACCTCGAACATGAGCGGCAAACCTCAGGCCAGAATCCAGACAGACAGAACGCGTGCTGGTCCCCGTCCGTCATCAATAACAACAGAGTATCTCCAGCAATGAGACATTTGGAAATCATCAAGGGACGGATTGCGACAATTGGTTTCGAACAGCTTCCAGACTTATGAATCCCCTGTCCACATGGGTGCACATCCCCACAGCCAAATCGTTGGGAAACACTGACCTATGTTCGCCGTGGCGAAAGAGGCATTTCTTGTCATCTGCAGCTTCCTGGTGTTGAACACGTAGCGAGTTCACGTCATGATCGCACCTTGCACTTGTCTACGTGACGGGCGCGGACGGGTGGGGCCATTGGTCGGGCCTGTGCTTGGCTGCCACGAGCTTGTGGCGGCTGCACTTGCTGGAGTTTTCGTTTGTTTTTTTCCTTTCCAGCCGTCAGCCACCACTCAATTCCCGTGTCCCAATTGATCCCATGTTTGCATGGCTCGACCCCCTACCCCCGAAGGCTCGATTCGTGTGTTTCATGTTGTCCCGGCTCAAACAGTCTTGGTGATTGGGTCGGGCAGTGTTCCCCCAATGAATGCTGAGAAGATGGGTGAGCGCTGTTGCATGGTCATTTTCTACACCGACCCTCATCTACCGTCCAGGATTTTTTCAAGGGTGATCTGATCAGCATTCTGGCCCAGATGAAATTATCTTCTCGAGCCCTTTGCGCAAGACTTTGACATCGAGGGTGCAGCCAACCGGTAAAGCACGTCTTGCCAGTCACACGTCACTAATCTTGACAGGACCCAGTGAGACCTGTGCACTGTGCTCAGCCTTGCTGCGATGTGACACGAGCATTTCCAATGGCACGACTGGCCAAGAGTTCAGGAAGCAGCCAATGCTGTCATGCCCTTGTACATACTCTTCTCCATGGGCCGGCGGCCAAGCCAGCTTGTGGTGCCCTTGCGTTGACTCATTGGGCTAGCCGTGGCCTCATCTGTCACATTGCAGTGTTTGCAACTTGGCCTCGGAAGGTGCCATGGTTTTGCACTGGCTGCTCGTGATCAACCTGTCGGTCTTCGCGACAAAGCTGGCTGCATTCGTTCTTGTCCGTGCTCCAAGTCTCCAAAGCTGTTCTGATACACAGCCGCTGCGCTTCGGTTTCCACAGGTGTGCCGCGAAGTGCTCTCCGAGGTGGGGAAGTTTTTGGAGCCTCTGCTGCATCATCCGCCTTTGTCTGCTTCGGCGATCTTTGTAGTGCCAGGGGTGCAGGCGCTGCAAATGTAGCCAAGGTTGCCATCATTTTCATCCTGATCACCTTCAGCAGTGCAATTGCAACCTTGAGGCTACAAGTTTAGTGTTTTTGACAGACCCAGCTCGGACTCGGACTGCGAAAGATTCAGGCATGAGGTGGCGGAGTTCAGAACGCTTCCGAAAGCAGCAGTGTTCTCAGCTGACGCTTGGCTTCTCGAGCGGACTGCCGAGCCTTGCAGGCGAACTGCTTGTTTGCCACGACAGTTGGCATCTACGAGGGCGACTACAGGGAGATGATGCACCAACCGGCACTTCTAGCGTTAGATCCCGAAATCTCGGGACGAGTTCTCATTGTGATGGAAAGTGCCGGTACGTGCTACAAGCTTGCAGCAGCCTCTTCAAAGGCCCGTCTTGCTGTTCATCACCGTGTCAGCAATCCTGCTGATCAATCTTTTGATCGACTTTCCCTCAGTTCAGCAACTCGCCCTGGTTTTGGGGTATCTGTGGAGTTCAATGCCGGCTGAGGCTCAGCTGAACTGTTCATACGACTACGTGTATGTCCTGCCCTCAGTCGGTGAGGCTGATGGTAGGTGAAAATCTGGCATTTGAGCTATATCGCGTTTTACAGGACGAGGAGTTCAATTTGCAGTTGTACGACCACGGCAATAATAGATAACAGTCCAGGATGGCAGGGCGACAAGCCACCGTAGCTCCACGTTATTTCTGCACACTCACTTGGACACCTGGCTAGTGCAGCTGGCGAATGATGTTCAGTGGGCATGGGATTCGAGACTGCTCGGGTAACACGGGTTAAAGACACTCCGCAGCAGCCGGCATGAGCCGAGATGCTACGTAATTCCTGCTTCTGCAAATGCTTGGATTCACAGTTCTGTGGGTGGTGTTGTTAGGGCATCGTGATGATTCCACTGCTGGCAATCACTTGACAGGGTGATATGCTGGGCTTCGCCCGCTTGGCACGGGCGTCTTTGATTGTTCGGCCCCTGAAAGCTGGAATTGTCAGTGATGTTGCGCAAATCATAGATCGCTATACTGAGGTGGATTCAATGGCAGCATGTCCTCCTGCGAGATTTTCCAGATTTGTTTGGCACCCAATCTGGGTGCAAAGTGCGTGCATGCAAGGAACTTACACAACATCTTGCAACTATACTACGGGAACGAGTTATTGCTACTATTACCACTACCACTAGTTCTATTAGTGCTGCTGCTGCTGCTGCTGCTGCTGCTGCTAATGCTGCTACTACTACTACTACTACTACTACTACTACTACCACCAGTACTAGTACTAGTACGGGTTTCGGCTGGAGCACCGCAACTTCTGGCCCTGGAATTCATCCGCGGATTCACTTTTCAGTCGTGCCGGTCCCAAATCCGGCAGCTGGGCAAGGCTATAGCGAGGACTCAGATTGTGGAAGGCCCAGTTAACCCGAGGGTTCGGTGCAGTTCCACAGCGCACCGCGGAGCCACTTCAGTTATGACTTCGATTCTGACTGGGGTGACAAAAAATTCCGGAAACGAGAAACTACGTGCCGACAGCATACGAGAACGCAAAAGAGATCTTTCAAGCGCGCGCAAAGCTGCGCAGAACAGTGCGGAGGCACATAAGGGCAGATGGCACACGGCCAAGACGCTGAACAGTATGCATCGGGGTTGGACCCAGACTGAACGCGTGAGTGACGAACGTTCGGGGCTGGACCTGCAAGCGTTGCGACCGGGTCGGCTGCGCGTCATGACCTACAACCTCGGAGGCGTCTCGTCAGATCTATATGATACTTTGCTGGAATGGCTGGTGAGTCATGAAGCAGTGGATGTTTTGATTCTACAGGAGACTCATTGGGGCTTTGGCAAAGGGGAATCAAGCGAGGGCTGGAAATTCTTGTGGTCCTCAGATCCTGCGAACCGCTACAGCGGAGTGGCGATTGCTCTCCACACGGACCTGGCGCGAAACTCTGAAACCACCCATGTGGTCTCGAAGCCTGGAGCCCCGCTTGACCTCGTTGCGGTCTATCAGTGGGTGTGCCAGCAAGCGAAGCAGCAGGAAATCACTGCCAAACGGCATGCACTCTGGCTGTCCCCGGGGTAACTGCTACAGCGACTCCCGCTTCGGGACTTGGTGATCATTGGTGCGGATCTAAACTCAGCCCGCGTTTCCCATCCCAGGCTTGATAGGTCGGGGGCTGAAAAAGCCGGCCTCCAAGGAAACGGATGAGAAGCTGATGGGGCTGATCTCAGCTCAGAAGCTGGTCATGCTGAACACATGGAGTAGCAGTAGAACTACGCGCTGCTGTACATTCCGGAACGGAGGCCAGACTTCTCAGTTGGACTTCATTCTGACGCGGAGACCCGCAGCCGACGCGCTGGCAAGAAGAGCTCACCCGACATCGTTGGACTTGACACCGTGGCGTCTTGGTCCCATGGGCCTGTCGTTGTTAGTCTTCCGTTCAGGGCTGGTTGGCACCTCAGTAGGCCGCCCCCCTAAAACTTGGCATTTCTGGCTGAGGGACCTCAGGGACATGCTTGCGCACTTAAAACCCCCGGTCTTGCTGTTTTAAGGCCCAGGTTCAGCAGATCGTCCGAGAATGTGAGGGGCAGGTGAATTTTCGTGCGCTGAATCGACGCCTTCTTGAGCTTTGTCGGCATTATGCCTTCAAGGGATGCGCAAACTATCGCTGATACTCACGCCATGTGGGAATTACAGGCTTGAGGTTTGGCGGGGATTTCGGGTCATTCGCTTAGGGATGCGGCTGCTGCGTGGCGTCAGTATGAAGCCATTCGGCAGGCGCGTAACTTTGTCCGGGCTAGTGGCAAGCGAACTCGCAAGCATTGGCTAGTGGCTGATCTCCCAGATCGAAATCGCAGAGTGAGGTGCCCAACGGCATGACGACGGGCTTGTGTATAGGGTTGTGAAGTCGCCGGAGTCGGAACAATTCAAGGTTATCTTTGACTACTTCAGAGTGGTCTTTAGCAGACAGGACGACTTCAGCCTTCCGGACGAGGTCAGAAGCCTCACAATTGGGATAGAAAAGATCATCGCTGCAATCCAGAAGCTTAAGCCGGGTAAAGCCGGGCCGAAAAACAGCCCGCCCGGCTGCAGCTACTGCTGCTAGCCGCGAGCCACTTCCATTCCTTTTCAGTCGCCGTATCGAGCGTTGACATCGCAGTTGGCACACACGGTTTCTAGAACTTAGCATCCTGTGATAGAAATAAATAGACCGATGTAGAAGTAGCCGAAGTAGTAGACACAGTGAAAAATAGTAGAAGCGGCAGCAGCAGGAAGAGGCGGAGTAGTGGTAGTGGTAGTGGTAGTGGCAATAGTAGTAGTAGTAGTAGTAGTAGTAGTAGTAGTAGTAGTAGTGAAGCGCCATGAGCGGCTCAAACATGGACGGGGGCCTCTAGGCATGTCGATAAGCTGTACTGGTCATCTGCGGGCGTGGCTAATTGAAGCGCTGGAAACGCAGCTCTCTGAGCAGCCAGAGCAAACCCTGATCTGGGCTGAGCAGCTGTTCGGTGAGCTCCTGCGAGGACTGACTGTGTCTGAAATCCTTTTGGAAGCTGCGCAGATCCTGCCACGACAAAGCTTTGCGCTTTTCCTGTCGTGGTCCATACACCACTATAACCAAGAGACCATTGCAGCATTGATCTACATCATCGAACAGCAAGAACATGCCGCAGCAACTACTGAGGTTCTTACGAACAGAGCCCCCTAAAGCTGAACTGGGCTACTCAATCCCAGATGCAACGAGAACGACATCAAGCTTTGAGGCCCGCTCAACTCGGTCCCAAGTCCGAGAGCTGAGTGCTACAGCGTATCATGCACATTCAGAACAATCAGCTGGCGCGAGGGTGTCCAGGTATCCCCCGAAACTGGATGAAGGTGCCTCGGCACCAAACTACGGGGACGGAAGGCTTTTGGTGATCAGATCCACTACGTGTAGGATAAAGAAGCGCTCCTTAAAGCGAGCTATGCAACGAGCAGAACGGGATGGTAAAGCAGTCTACAGGGGTGGCGTCATACCGAGATGGACCCCGCTCTACGAACCCAAGTTCCTCCCGAAGCCGATCCAGTCCGGAACTCCGGGTCATGAGCGAATTAAAATTGTACAGTGGAATTGTGGTGGCTTCTCGAAAGAGATACAACTTGAATGGTACTCATGGCTGAGACAAGACCCGGCCATTGGCATGTTCATTCTGGCGGAGACGCACTGGAATTTCACGAACGACTTCCAATCTGAGGGATGGACTTTGATTCACTCAGGACAGCCCAAAAAGAAGGGCGCCGGGATTATGATTGGGCTGAGATCGGACCTTGCAGAACGCAGCAACATCAAATGGAACGAGCTCGAGGCAGGCAGGCTGCTCCATGTGCGATGTAATATACACAAACAACAGTTTGACATACTGGCTGTCTACCAACACGCCATGCTTCGCGCGAACAATGAAGACATGAAGGAGCTGATGAGCCAGCGGCGCAAAATCTGGCAGAAAATGGACCGGGCCATAGCTGGTTTTCCCTTTAGATCCTCCTTGGTTGTATCGGGGGACTTCAATATGGTCTTTTCACCACTTGCGGAAGTGGCTGGACATGGCATTCAAGCCGGAGGAGATGCAGAGTGCCTCAAAACTGAGCGCGCGGAAGTAATGGGGATTCTGCAGGCAAGGCGTCTAGTGGTGCTCAACACGTGGGGCAAGCCGGCCACCACGTACCGACATCCAAATGGGGAGTCGCAGATCGACTATGTGATCACGCGCAAACAATGCGCAGATCTGGAGGCGCGTAGGTGCGTGCCGGTAAAGACCCCGCTGGCAGATTGGCGCTCAGCTGGACACCTGCCACTGGTGGCGTCGCTCAAGCTGAACTGGCTACCCTGGACTAGACAGATGCGTGGGAAAGACGACGGCCAACATCAAGGGAGAGCACCGGAGATTCTGCTACAGGATGCACACCCAAACCTGTGGGAGCTGCGCCGGGCCATCAAGCAGCACTGGTGCGATTCGCCGGGCAAACTGGCCATGCCCAAACCTCGATGTGTGCAAGCAGAGGTGGAGGCGATGTGGCGAAGTCGGAGCTCACAGCTGACAAAGGAGGGCAGCGGGGAAAGCGAAGCGGAGAAGCTACAGGCGGAGCACAAGCGCGCAATGCGGAAGCTGGCACGACAGCGAAAGTGGGAGACGCTCTTAGCAACGCTGGAGATGGTGGGCGAGGCCCAACAGGCGGGGAACATGCATGCGCAATACCAGTTCATTCGGAAGATTTGTCCCAAGTCCTTTCGGAGAAGGGTTTGTCTGAAAAAAGAAGACGGAGGGATTATGTCGAATGAGGAAGAGTGTGCTGCATTGGCGGCTTACGCCAGGAAGCTGTTTTTGGATGCAGATTTTGCAGAGCCCGCTTTACTTTCGCTACCAGAGGAGTGGTTTACTCCGGACGCTTGGAAGAGGGCCCTATGCAAGCTACAAACACACAAGGCAGTCCCCAAATTTTCAGCGAGTGTATATAATTGGAAGCTAAACGTCGAGCAACTTGCTCCTACCCTACAACAGATTGCGCTGTGCACTGTATGCTCTGATCAACCATATGTGCCGGATCTGTGGATGAGAGTGCAACTGGCATGGCTGCCCAAGCCAAATCGGGCACCAACATCGCCGTCCCAGCTGAGGAGCATAGGACTGATGAGCCCGGATACCAAAGCATTTCTTCAGATCATGAAACAGCACGCAAACCCATGGGTTCAGAAAGCACTTGCAGATGCTCCGCAGTACGCTTACCGACAGATGACTTCAACCACGGACCCAATCCTGAGAGCTACGAAACACTGTGCTAAAGTACGTCAACAGCTCGCTGGGTACTTGGAGGATCACACGGCCAAAATCATGCAGGTCGCTGACAAAGAGCTTCTTGGAGGACTTATGCTGAGCATTGATTTAAGCAAAGCTTTTGACTACTTAAGCTACAGCGAGATGTACAATGCTCTTCGTGAAACGGGCATGCCGGAAGTGATTAGCAGAGTACTCCTTCACATCCACATTCAGACAACACTGCTGATAGTTCATGGCGGCCATGAGCGGGAAGTCCGGATGAAGCGCG